TCGTTTAAGAGAACAGAAATATTTATATACGTTAGATGTTATTGTTAATAGAGAGTAATTAGTTAATCATCGATCTAGAGTCTCGAGAAGAGAAAAGGTAAATTAAGATCTAAGTATCCCTAGTTCAAGATAGTTAGGTTTTCAAAAGAGTGATAGAAAAGGCTAAATAAACTTGCAAAACTATAACGTAAATCTAGTTTCGTTATAAATATTCGCAAAATTTTGTAGTAAATTTATGATAATGGTAGATATATGGTAGAATAGAAAGTAACTGTAGAATCTATAACGTATATTAGGACTATTTAAACCTACTGGGCCCTTTTTTAGTTGCCAATATATCCAAATCCTTATTGCTATAATAATGTGGAGCTAATTCGCTCAACCACTTTTCATCTATTAACATGCAATTTCTCATGAATTCTTTACTAGTGAGTACTAATTCATGGTATAATATAAGCTTTGGTGGAGGTTTTACGGGATACAAAACGGATGAAGGGTGTATAAATACCGCTTGATTCTTCTTTAATGACCTATAAGAATCACCCATCTTTGATAATCGTGCTATGTTGGGAAAAAAGCCCGCAGTTATGGACTTTTGTACCATTAGCTTCTTGTTCACTTTATCATCTTCGACCAAAGGAATTCCAGTTTTTTTGCATAATCTCTCTAATTGCTGTCTAACCTCTTTAGATCGCCTTAGAGTTTTATACTGAATGAAGTTATCCTGACACCATTGATTCGAATATCCGGTATCCTGCCACTGATCCCAAAGATTTAGCAAAGTTAAGTGGTCTCCCTCGTCAACTTGAAACGATTCTTTTTTCTTATCAGCTTGTTCTCGCTTATCCTTTGGCCTGTAGAATAAACTAGCACTTTCACTTAACATAGAAATGATTGTCAATATTTCATTCGTTACGCCATAAGTAGAGCTGGATATTAAACATTTTGCAAACATTGGATCAATTGGGAATTCAGCCATCTTTCTTCCAGTCTTAGTTAATTCACCTTTGGAATTCAATGCACCCAACGCATAAAGTAATTCAAGCGATTTGATTAACGTGTCAGAGCTTGGAGGGTCAATAAACTCAAAATTAATTAAGTCAGTTATACCTAATGATAATAATAGAAGCACGATGTGTACTAGATTAACTCTCAAAATTTCGGGAGTAGGATTAGCTTGTATTTCATTGTAGAACGACCATTTCGTATATAGACGGAAACATTTACCAGGGCCGACTCTACCAGCTCTACCAGCTCTTTGGTTTGCAGAAGCACGCGAACAAGGGACAACAACCAAGCTTTCCATACCAGTCACAGGATTAAATACATTCTCTTTAACATAACCAGGATCGATAACATAAGATATTCCTTCTATAGTAATAGACGTTTCGGCAATATTCGTCGCTAGAACAATTTTCCTGGAATTAGGCGGGGTTGGCTCGAATATATTCTTTTGTAGGTCTGTCGGAAGACTAGCATAAACTGGGCATATTATAAGAGGCGTTATCAGAGACCCTAGTTTGTGACATGCTTCTTCTAAGCTTTCTTGCATAGTTTCGATTTCATCTTGTCCAGTTAGGAAAACCAAGATATCACCAGGTAACTCCTGGGTTGTGTGGATCTGGAAAATCGTTGTAAGGGCAGCTTGTATGTAATTTGCTTCTGGGTTCTTCGTATAATGGATGTCAACGGGGAATCTTCTACCAGGAATATTGAAAATGGGTGCACCATTAAAATAATTAGAAAATTTCTCTGCATTCATAGTTGCTGAAGCAATGATTAATTTCAAGTCTTTTCTAATTTGAATGATGTCTTTCAAAAGACTGAGAATTATTTCGGTAGATACCGTTCTCTCATGAGCTTCATCGATCATTAACGCCCCATAGGAAGATAATTCAGGGTCAGTCAAAAACTCCCTCAATAACATACCATCAGTTAAATATTTAATAATAGTCTTATCACTAGATTTGTCTTCGAAACGAATACTATACCCAACTTCTTCTCCTAAGGTAACTCCCATTTCATCAGCAATTCTATTAGCAACGGAAGTCGCTGCAACTCTACGAGGTTGAGTACAACCGATTTTTAGAATTTTTCCATTATTATTCTTTGAATATCCTGCTTCATGTAAATATTGTGGAAGCTGCGTAGTTTTACCAGAACCAGTTTCACCGACAACAATTAAAACTTGGTATTTTGACATCGCATCTAAGAACTGTTCTCTGTATTTATACACAGGTAACGATTTCCTAACTTCATCCATTGAAGCTTTTTGTTTCGAGATTTGAGTATTATTCTCTGGTTTATCTCCTTCTAATGGCTTGTCTTGATCAAACGAAACAAATTGCGATTCGTCAAAAACGAATTCATAGTTATCTTGATTAGGGAGATTGATTTCATCAGTAGAAACAACATTTGCAATTTGTGCCTTTTTCAATTGATCTTGCTCCCATTGATTTTCATACCTATTACGTTTAGTTGTTTCTGCTTTTTCCATTTTGTCATCATAATTATCTTTTGCATTCAATGCATTTAATTTCCGTTTCTTATCTAGTTTACCTTTGGTATTGATATAATCATCAGGCAACTGATATTCATCATTCCTTCCAATAGACTGAAAAGATTCATCAGTTTCGGTTATCAATTTGCATATTTTTTGTTTATATTCAAAATCTTCTTGTTCATGCCTAGTTAACGCTCTTTCTTTGATAATGGATTTATACTTTTCTATATCTAAAGATAAATCAATTAATTTCGAAGCTTGTCTTTTTTTTAGATAATTCTGACGTGACAAATCCCGTAAGTCGTCATGGTTTTCTGTCTGTTCGTTAGTCGTCAGCGTTTGGAGTATTTCTGGGGAAGCCATCGCATAATCGCCTGCATCAGTTACAACTTTTAATTCAGCAGTATCAGATTCCAATTCATTTTCCGATTCGGAACCCCATTGGTCTTCATCAGTTCTTTTTCTTCGTCTACCTTTTCCTTCCTTGATTCTGTCTGACATAATTTACTAGTATCAAATGGTAAACAAAAATAAGCTCATCGAAAATTGTTGTTTAAATAAATCGAGCAGTTTCAAAAAATGAAATTTCAAATTGTTTCCTTAGGAGAGTGGTATTTCCCAACGTTTTTAATATGCCAAACGAAACGACCAAGGCACGAAGGACATCAAGGATATCGCCACATCATGAAGAGTCATCGTCTTTTTTTAACATTGCTTCTGTATTAGAGAAACAAAAAGATACCGAACAGGTAAACACGAATCTGGAAAAATGTTCATATATTCCACCTTGGACGGAGCCATATATTATTGGTATAGCTGGTAATTCAGGATCCGGAAAGACTTCTTTATCTCAAAAGATTATACAAGAGATCAATCAACCTTGGACAGTCTTATTATCATTTGATAATTTTTATAATCCGTTGAGTCAAGAAGAGAGACAGAAAGCATATAGTAATGAATTTGATTTTGATACACCAGATTCACTTGATTTGGATCTATTATATAAGGTGGTGAGATCTTTGAAGAGTGGTGAAAAAACCGAAGTTCCAATCTATTCATTTACCAAGCATGATAGAACAGACAAAACGACTACAATATACGGAGCTAATGTTATTGTAATAGAGGGAATTTATGCTTTGTATGATCAAAGACTACTCGACTTAATGGATATTAAGATCTATGTTGATACAGATCTTGATATTTGTCTTGCCAGAAGACTAACAAGAGATATTTTGTATAGAGGAAGAGACTTATCTGGTGCTATGAAGCAATGGGAAACATTTGTGAAGCCAAATGCAGTAAGGTATGTTAACCCTACCATGGATAATGCGAATTTAATTATTCCTAGAGGTTTGGACAATTCTATTGCAATCAACTTAATGATCAAACACATTCAAAAGCAATTAGCGTTAAAATCATCATTACATTTACAAAGTTTGAAGAGTTTGGGTGTGAATGAATTTAAGATTGAAAATTATGAAAACCTTAATTTGTTACCGAATAATAACCATACAAGAGGGATCAATTCCGCTTTATTCAATATATCCACTGAGAGATCAGATTTTATATTTTATTTTGATAGAGTTGCAATTTTAATTATAGAAAATGCTATTGAAACCTTTAAAAATTACAGGTCGAAGATAGTAGATACCGCAGGCAGTTACCAATATCAAGGATTGGACCACGTTGATGAAATTTTTGCAGTGAATATTATTAGATCTGGGGATTGCTTTATGAATTCAATTAAGAAAACATTTCCGGAAATATCTATCGGTAAATTATTGATTCAATCCGCAGCATTGACAGGAGAACCTCAATTACATTTCGAATCCTTACCACCAAATTTAGACAAGATCGAACATAAGACTATATTGTTATTTGACGCACAAATTATAAGTGGAGCAGCAGCGATAATGGCAATTCAAGTATTACTTGATCATAAGGTAAGGATGGAAAATATAGTATTTTGCACGTATTTATCAACAGAAATTGGATTGAGGAGAATTTTAAATGTGTTTCCTAGGGTTAGGATTGTGATTGGTAAATTAAGTACTATTGGTGACAGTACTAAATGGTATAACCCAGAAAATTTTAAAGACACGGATTGGTGTTTCAGAAATAGATTCATTGATTCTCTTTACTTTGGTACATAAAGTAGTTTTACCTGTAAATTGGAAATAGAAGGCATAATATTTATTAAATTTGAAACTAGTAAACTTGTAAAATTGTTATCTCTCGATAGCACCATTACAGTAGAGATTCTACAAGGAAAAGATATTCCGTTAGTAAACAATCGGTGTATATTGCATAAGAAATAAAAGAAAAAGGATATGTTGCAACATTTTTCTGGTTTATACTAATTAAAATCGTTATTCGTCATAAATTCATCTTTGTCTCATTGCAATTCGTTATAATTATTGCCATATTAGATTTGATTGATATTTCATAATAAATATGATTAACAAAACACCCCTTCGGCATATGATGCTAAATATGTCTAATGCTCAGTCTCAATTGAATTATCAATGGATCTGGGATTCTGAAACTTAAGAGCCACAGAATTGCGTCTGCAATGCTTTTTAGGAAAATAAGCGCTTGCGTTCTGGCCTCTTCCCTCGCTAATAGAGCTTGATGGACACGTCGCTGGTTCCGAAGAATATGCTTTTCCATAGTTGGCATGATGCGTAATGCCTGGTAATTCGTTGTCGAACGTATTTAAATCACAAATGGAAAACCTGCGCTTTGGAACCATTGCAAACATCTTGTCTTCGTCACTTTGTAGTCTGCAAGTCTGCTCAAGCATGCCATTGATGACCGGTGCCGACCTGGATTTCTTCAACTGCAAGTTTTTGCGCACACCGTCCTGTTTCAAACACGGATTCGAATTTTCATAGTTAGCGTAACTCTTATCGATCAAAAATGCCGTGATAGGCTTGTTTGCATCGTTGTTTCCTGATATGTGTTCCAAAGCTAATGAAAACCGTCTAGAACCCATTCTTGCATAATTGTGCTCTACAGTTCCTTTTCTTGGTTGTTTTTCTATGATAGGGGATCCTATAATCAGATGAGGTATTAAATGCCAATGTATCCAGCAACAATTCAATTGCTGCAACTTGATCTGCTAATTGGAGTAATTATCGGTTGTATTGCTATTATTCAATTAACTGCTTACTGTAACTTCCTATTTTTCTATATATACCCTTTATATCCAATATTAGGCTTGATACAATCTAGATCAATTGCACACACTAGTGGTATGTTTTATAGACTGATAAACTTTTGCGACAGCAATATCATAAATATCATTTGCTTACGTAACAATGCGACATTCCATTATCTATCTCCTCCTCAGCATACTCCATTTGTCGAACAAAAATTGTCCCATACAATGCCGTGCTCCTGGACCATTAGCGAAAGGGGACCTTAAAACCCCCATAGCGTGTAGTCAAGACGAAGTGTCAACCAAATTTCGCACCCACTTTTATTATGTAGTACAATTAGAGGAACTCTTGGATATCTGGTCCATAATGAGTCACACTACCGTAAACTTCATTTTCATTTTATTCATTAGTGTATTATTTCAGTTGAGCTCTTTTGATGCTAGATGTAGAACTTAGCGTGTTTTGCCATATACGGTGCAAGGCAAAATGTAAAGGGAAGAAGATAAACGGGTATTTAACTCCGTTTGGCCGTGGATTTATTCGGTTACATTGTTAAGTTCGATCTGGTGAAAATCGCAGATAACCGGGGTAAATGGTATATAATTAAGTGAAAAGTAACGAATAGTATTTATATTATTACATTACATCGTGAGATAATATTAGGGTGCCATAGAGAAGAGAAGACAAAATAAAGAATTCAATTGGCATGTTTAAAAGGTTTGTATCATTTAAGGCAGCTGGTAAGTTGAAGCTAGCAGATTTGAACAAGCTGACGATAAATGCAAAATATGCTGTCAGAGGAAAGATTCCTATTAGAGCCGACGAGCTCCGAGAACAGTTGAACGACACGAACAACGAGTTGCCGTTTAAGGAGATTATTTATGCTAATATCGGTAATCCACAACAATTGGACCAGGCTCCATTGACATGGTACAGGCAGGTGTTATCGGTTTTGCAAAACCCTAAGTTATTGAATACCCAGATTGATTATCCGAAGGACGTGATTGATAGAGCTAAGCTATTATTGGAGAATGTGGGGTCGGTGGGTGCCTATTCCCATTCACAGGGGAATCCACATGTTAGAAAATCAGTTGCAGATTTCATCACAAGGAGAGATGGGTTCCCTAGTAACCCATCGGACATCTTCTTGACCGGTGGTGCTTCTGCCGCTGTATCTTATTTATTGCAGGTTTTATCGAGTAGTAATGACTCAGGATTTATGATTCCTATCCCCCAGTATCCGTTATACACTGCTACTATTGCATTGAATGATGCAGTTCCAATTGGATACTATTTGAATGAAGAAAACAATTGGTCTACCAACCCTACTCAAATTAGAGAGTTGATCAAAGAAAACAACGAGAAGGGTATTCAGATCAAAGCGTTGGTTGTTATTAACCCAGGTAATCCTACGGGCTCTATCTTGTCGTATGATAATATAGTTGAGATCATTAATATTGCTGCCGAATATGGAATTGCTATTATTGCAGATGAAGTATACCAGGAAAATGTATTTGAAGGAGAGTTTGTTTCGGTGAAGAAGGTTTTATCGAAGTTGAATAGAATTGATCCTCAAGCTTACAATAATGTGCAATTGGCTTCATTGCATTCTACATCGAAGGGGGTGAGTGGTGAATGTGGACAAAGGGGCGGATATATGGAATTAGTTGGATTTTCAAAGGAAGTGAGAGATATAATTTTTAAATTGGCATCAATTAACTTATGCTCTGTTGTTTCTGGACAAACTTTAGTGGAACTAATGATTAATCCTCCAACTCCAGGGTCCGCATCGTATGAATTATACAAATCTGAAACTTCCAAGATCCACAAAGATTTGCAGTCAAGAGCCGACTTGTTATATAAATCTTTCATTGAAATGGAAGGTATAACCTGTAATAAACCTATGGGAGCCATGTATCTTTTCCCTAAGTTAAATTTTACCCCAAATTCATATCCAAAATTATTTGAGGATTCTGAAAATATTGGTGCTACAATAGATGAAGTATATTGTATTGAATTGTTAGAAAACACTGGTATTTGTTGTATCCCTGGTTCAGGATTTGGTCAAGTACCAGACACTTACCATTTAAGAACTACATTCTTGCCTCCAGGATCGGAATGGATTGATAAATGGGTTGGATTTCATAATGATTTTATAGCGAAGTATAAAAACTGAAAGGAATTTGATATTTCTTTATAAATCTATAGAAGCTTGTATAAGTATAAAATATAGTGGCAGAATACATGCCACAGTACGAAAAAAAATACACTGTTGTAGGCTATGCACTCTGCATTTCTTATTTTAATGTTCTAGCAAGGAGGAATATCAATTTAATTTAATAAATTATTGTGACTTTTTGAGGTTCAATTCAACTTGGTCCATTTCAAAATCACCTATGATACAACTTAATGCAATAATCAACCAAGCAGGTAACCATCCCAATATTATTATAAACCAAGTCCAGCATTGTAATTCATTCCAAGAAGTTAATAAGCCCCTCATCAATACTGTAGCACCTTGATTTTCATGTATAAAAACGTTACCAATCAAATAAATGATGAAAATTGGACTTGACAGAACTAAACATGCAGTAACTTTAATCTTTGATAAATATTTCCTGTTACTTAATGTCTTAAGGTTTGCGTTCGTAATGATTGGCTGAATAAACGTAAGTGGTAATGCAAAAAAACCAATAGATAAGGCTAATGCAAAGTGAACAATTAACAACGTAGTAATCAACAATGCTATCCAAAACAATGACATTGAAATTAACATATAAGTCAACTCTTTACTTAATTTATATTTCTTCAAACTTGGAATGTTGAAACTAGGTGAGATTGAAATTGCAACACTATTATATATAAGGCCATAGAGGACAATATTCACTCCTAATTTCTCTTCATTGGCGGATAATTTAACCAAATATGGTAATAATATTGAAATAATAAAACATATACTTTCCACACTGGTGAAAATTATCAATAATTTATTAAATGTCCCCAAGAATAAACTCATTTGAAGACCACTGTTCAATAAACATCCAAATGAACTAATAGCAAACGCAACTGCAATCAAAATAGCCGACGGTAAATATGTCCCGATTGATACAAAATGATTAGGTGCCAACATTAAATAGAAAAAGAATGATTGATGAAATTTCTCCAATAAATTGTTTACTGATCTAAAAGTTGAATCAATTATTCTTCCAAATTGGGTAACATCAGCAGGTCCAGAAGTACCTCTTGCTTTAACTGTAAATGCTTGGATCAGCCAGCCAGAAAAAGCTTCACATCCAGGCGTGTTTCTGTTTAACCCAGCTAAAGCTAAGTTCAAAATACCTCTGAACAAAACTCGCAATCTGGAGAAATAAGTATTGGTCAGCAATTGGTTTGCTGGCGTCGATTGAATAGAACACTGAAGGTTTTCATGGCGACCTACAGTATTTGCAGTATTCAATAAATCTAAGTTAGGCAATTGGCCGTTTAAACCTTCGTAATTAATCTCATAATAATCAAAATAATCAGCTACTCCTTCATATTCCATTACTATCGCAGCCTCAATAGATCCAGCAGTCCTATCTAAAGAAGTGTGATATGCTTCAACCCACGATCTCAAAGAGGCGTGTCCGTCTTCAGGAAATACTAGGATGATATTCTTTGACCATATTGACATTTTATTAAAATATCTCAATAATGCAACACTGATTGCTACACCTCCTTCGTTATATTGACCAGTTGATGTCGTCCATGGAACTGCCAATACCATAGATTCTGTATCATCACCTCTAGGTGCATGCATTATACCATATAATGTGTTAGTACCTTTTGGATTAGTATGATATGATGTCTTCAAGCCAATGTCAGTCAACCATGACTCCACTATAGCATTTCTTTCATCGATTGGCTTGTGTTCAAAATTATGAACATCTCCTCTATAGCCTCTAACTATATTCCATTCACTTTCTCTAAAATATGAAGTAACCTGTCCTGGCATTAATGCATTTTCAGAGATGTACGTGTTTCTGTAAAACCCTTCATAAGGCAAAACAAACAACCATGCAATACTTGAAAGAGCAAGTAAAAATGAAATTACAGGAATTAACTTGACAATCTTAGGTATAAGCCCAGACTTGTGAAGCTTTCTTAATATCGTTTCAGCTAATGCCATTTTGCTTACTTAAATATGCTGTAGTACTTGATTTAAGATCGATCTTGAAATATTACGCTCAAATATTTTTTCAGGGACAATATCAAAAAATCTATCAGAATACCATGGAATATGGGACTTAGTATACGACAATATTACAAACAGATATGTCGACGCATACATAGACTTCCACTCGATTATAAAACAATAGAACGTTTCCAACTATACTGTAAAAGTAAGTTCGTAACTCCATTAAAGAAAGGTCAGTATCAACATAGCTCTATCGACAAGAATTCGTATGATAAAGGCATAATAATACTAGACGATGTATTAGTAAATGAAAATTACGAGTCTCTTAATGTCATATTAGATTTTGTTTATAAGGATGTGTTACCTCGACCATCATGGATTTCTGGTTTTATGAAATATAAGTATACGGCATTTAAGCCATATTGGCCACAAGTCCATTTGCTTAACGAATTGACTACTACACCGAAACAGTCTAAGCTTTATGAACAAAGTTTGCAGAGAGATAAGGATGAAGACTTATCATTGTTGGAATATTTTGGAATTAAACCCGACTCAATTGATATAGGTCTAAGGCCGTTAAAGTCGACTGCTGGTGATAAGACATCACCATTAAGTACGATTATGCTGGAGTTAAAAAAGCTTCATTCATTCTTATATAAAAATCAAGAAAAACTAACTCATTTAAAGATGCAACCATTAGAGGTGACATATCCTACTAACAGATTTGCATTACCAATCCATGTAACGCAGCGTGATAATTTATTGAAACTGAAAATAAACTACGCTAAAAAACTTGCTACAGAATTTAGGCCCATATGTGAAGATTCTTTGAACCATTTAATTAAATTTGCTGTATTTAAACCAGGGTATAGCGGAGGAAATGATGCTTATAAAGTAAATGAAAATTTCTATAAGTATATGATTCGGAAGCATAATTATGAAAGCGTAAATTTAAATCCTCTTCACAGGAAACATCTCAGAAGTAAACAATTGATTCCGAATGATAACAATATAAGAAAATATATGAGAGAATATGTTAGGAAGCAATTCTATTATGATTCTAATCTAAAGACTTATAAAATGAGTTGGATGCAAAATTTTTATGAAAATGAGAAAAGAATTATACCGGATATCGAGATACCAAGTTAGTTTCTTGATGATTATTTAAGTCCAAACACTAAATAATTTTGCTTGTTAGCATCGAGTAAACACCCTATATTTCTAGACTTATCAGAGTTTATAGCTAAGAATTTTGGTTCTGACACTCTGTTAATTGCATCACTATCGAATACGTTCTGATTTATTGGTGAAATGGAAGCGTAAGAAATAGTGCACAGATCTTGTAATATCACATCATCGAAGTTAAATGATTCAAGATAGTACTTTGGTGATGCGTCAATTAATAATAATATTTTTCTTTCATTCATTATTTCGTAAGTAATGATCGGATCTTTTAGTTTTATTATCTTCGTTTGTAAATCCGAACTTGATAATGAAAATTTAATAAGAGATAGTGTTGATTCTTCATGGTTAATACATGATATGATACCAAAGTCAGATCCATTAGATATTTTCATTTTTTCCATATGAGTTGATGATATATTTAATGGAATTAAATCATTGAATTTCACAATCGATTTAATATAATTCGTGATATTCCTTAATAGATTACTCTCCACAAACTTATTTAGTCCAATGTATTTGTCCATTAAATTAGTCTCAACAACATCTTGGAGTAGAATTTCGTTCATTGGTAAGTTTATTTCGAAATAATTGAATAATTTACTCCTAAACAAATACTCGTTGAAATACTTAATTAGATTCGAAGTTTTGTAATTCACATGCAAGGCTTTATAATACGAATCTATATCATCTTCCTTGGCAAGTTTATCAATGACGCCAATTTTAACCCAATTTATAAAATCATTAAATAACTTTTGCTCTTCGTTGATGTCCCAAATTAATTGATAAAAATATTTTAATAAATCATTCGTCAGCGCAACTATTGAATTTATTGAGTCCAAATCTAAACCAAGATAACCATTCAGATCGTTATTACCAATTTCCATACTTTCAAGCCATTTAACTAGACCTTGTAAAGTATTTAGGATAATCAACAATCTTTCTAATGATGAGACTAATTGATTGAAACAGATTTTTCTTATCAAGTCATAGATAGAATTACCTACCTTATTCAACTTCTTTAGTCCTCTTTCCCCTAACTGATTCAACCAAAAGTCTTTTAAGTTTGCAGGTATTAATCCAGTCAATAATAAATCAAATAGAGAATTAACAACTTTACATTTCAGTTCTTGATCAGTAGGAAAATTTGTAGTTAAATCAATGTTGGAATACAAACTATCTTTAAAATTAGATAAATGACGATCAAACAATTGAACAAACGGCTTTACTTCCTCATTTAAAAACACAAGTTGCTCGTTAATATAATTCATAATCGATTTTACTTTACATGATTGTAATATAATTTCCATCAAATAGTTTCGAAGATAATTGCTAGCAGGGATATCCAAGAACATTTTAAGTAGACATGAGGAATTATTACTTTTATTGGTGACAAGGAAATACTGGGCTAGTAAATCTGAGTTGTTTGCATGACACATAAATTTTAGGTGCTCGGGACATTTGATGCTATCGACAGTGAAAAGGCCATTGAAGGTTATCGATAGCTCAGTATGTGATCTAATTGTAATCATGAAATTTAGTAAACCCTCTGTATCATTAATTTCGTCAAGTTGGTAATTACTGTTATTGCTAACATTTGATGCATTGTTGTTAGTAAATATTTCATTATTTAATGATAATCTGGGTAGATTAGCCAAAACATCTACTTTAAATAAATTATCAAATCTGCCAGGCTCTTCTACAGGCTTATGACAACACCAATTAATTAAATTAATTGACTTTTGTTTACTATCAATTGTGTTTATCAATTTGCCTGAATTTGAATCATAAATCTTGCAATATCCGTCAACACCAGACACACAAAAGAATTTGCCATTAGGATTCCATGAAATATCCAATATAAGCGACTTGTTATTAATTGAATAAATTCTCTCGCCATTGATTCTGAATACCCAAATCGACATTCTATTCATTGAAATGGCTAACAAATCCATTGTAGGACACCAGCTTAGAATATTTCCATCAGCAAAGCCTATAAACTTATTATATGCAATTACAGGAAATGGTTGAGATTTCATTCTTCATATTCTTATATTATACAGCTATTATAGAGATAAATATACTCTGGGCGTCAGGACTATTTACATTTGAGATCTCTAATTTGAGATCGATTTTACCGATCTCAATTTTTGAAGACTGAAGTAAATATCAAGTAACGTGAATGTTATATTTAATTAGTATTTATATACAAGAGCACAATGTACATGCTATATGAATTAATGGGCAAAAATCAATTTCTAAAATTAATCACTAAGGAAGGCCCAATAGTAGAGGATAAGCAAGTTTGACCAATTAAGTTTGGCTTCTTGGTACCAGGAGGTTGACAACCATAGATTGCATCTGAAGCTGCTTTTAAGTTTTGTAAGATCTCTTTGTCACTGAAGTCACATCTACCAATTGGTATAGATAAATGTTGATCCTTTTGTTTGAAAGGTAAAGCACCCACATTCTCTTCCATTAATTTTGAAATATATTCAGAAACAGTACCTTTTTTAGTAGATGGCATCAAATTCTTAGGACCTAAATATCTCGCAATTGCCTTTAATTCTTTGACAATATCAGGTGTAGCAAAACATTGTGTAAACTCATCTAACTTTACGTTTCCTGCTTTTATTTCTTCAATTAATTCTAAACCTCCAACAGTTGCACCTTTTGCTTTAGCCTGTTCTAAAGATTCCTGTTCCAAACTAAAGACCAACATATTATTATCCTTTATTGGCCTTGGTAAGAAGACAGATCCACTTATTGGTTTAGAACCTTTATCAGGAATGATAGTCATCAAGATACTTAAAGTAGTCTTGTTTGCTGGGTTTCCCACTTCTGCGGCCCTTAAATATTTTAATGCAGTTGGTACATCCATATATAATGGATGTAATTCTGGATGTTGCTTATTCTTATTCTTAACTAATTGCATTCTTTTCAACTTCTTCTTGGACTCTTTTTGCTGATCTCTATTCTGTTTTTTCATTTTTGCATCACTTGCATCATATAATCTGGAGGTGTTCGATATGAAGCGTATATACGAATGTCCTTGAGGCAAAATAGCCCTCGGCTTCATATAACCAGTGAGTTTAAACATGTCTATGATCTATACACTTGGTAGCTGACTCTTCTCTAACTGTTATGCCAAAAGTTCTGAAAATTTTGTTCAGTATAAATTTTTCGGTTTTCGCACATTCGCTACGAGTATTCAATTTTAAGAAACCTTGTATACCTATACAACCTATAGAAATTAATACCTTTCAAAAAAACCCATGCAAAGTAACACATATAATACACATAATAATATACAATATCCAATTTAACTGTAAGTCTTAACCTTTATACTTTCTTTGATTTCATTTTCATGGAGAAGTTTCTCTTAAGAAAAGTTTGTTGATCGTCAACAATCGGATTTTTGGCTATCAAGACACTATCTGCCGAGTTATTCAAATGATTATAAATTGGATCTTTAGTATCATCTGAATTTATCGAGAACGAGGAAGAGTTTCTGAATAAAGAAATAAAACTTTTCCTATTTGACTTTTTGGACTTTGAGTCAGACTTAGCAGGGTTTGTTGGCCCCGAAGTAGAAAATCCCGTTACATCATTCATAGAAATTGCTTTAACATCAACAGCCTTAGGATCAATTGGCTTTATATCCGCTGGCTTGGCATTCGAAAGCTGGTCGACTGAAATTGACAATGAAAATCGCTTTGGCTTTCCAGAATTCGTATTTCCAATTGGACTGTAGTATGAGTCAAGTAAAGTTGAAAATCTATTTGAAATAGATCTTTTTCTAATAGGAGAAATATCAGTTTCAATATAAGCATCCGTACTGTTACCTTGATGCGTTATAGGACTATCAATAGACATTAACGAGTTGTTATCGTGAAGATTGGCAACTTCAATCGAATACTCATTTATAAGAGCAGATGCGTTTTCTATTAAAGTTTGCAATATTTCTTGCAAGAGTGGGAGAGCTTGGATATTGTTGATATCACTGTTATCAAAAAAATACGGCTGGAATATTATGGCCAAATTCATACTCGACATCTTTGTTTTTATCGAATGATCCATTATCAAGCTTAAATTATAGATTATGTAGATGAATAATTGGTTTTTGTCCTGCGATCTCTCGCTTATCATCGACTGGACAAATTTTTCCAAAAACTCGTTCAAAGTACTACAGTCGTAGGACGTCTTCGCAGTCTTGAACGAGTTAATACTTACATCATCCTTATAATCGATAACCAGTATCTGATTCATATATTCCACATAATGGTTCTTGATTTCTTTGGTGGTTGCTCCGTCAAAGACGCTTGCACCATACAAATAATAATTCAAATATTTTTTAATCACTCCGCTAATATCATGAGGACTGGGGTTAGCAGCTATCCAGTTCTCAATATTAGGATTAGCAAAGTATTGTGATATTCTCTTCACCGACCCGTTGACACGAAATACCCCTTCAACCATGCCATTAGATTGTAGATACTCAAAACATTGGACTAAGCATTTAGGTACCCTAACACTAAGCCCATCAACGCTTATATTCGTAAAATTAGATTCCAACTGCGATACAGATGATCTGGAACGTGAAAATGAAATTCGTTTATAGGTAGATGGCGACGGAAATGAATCCACTGAATTATTTATATTTAATGACATTTGCGTACTTTATTTACTAACAAACATCAATTTTCGTCAAGATTGGATTCGTTCTATATAAATATGAGGAATTTATTTTTGGTTTCATATTCGCTGGCTGGTGCAAGTCATGATACGCGTGAGAATATCTGGGGCATTGTATTTGACCTTCTAACGGCTCCTCTCTATTTTTAAGCGAGTCTAGAACCGACTTTCTAGAACCTCGCTTCTATTATGACTGTCATCTTCCTAGAGCGGAAATATTCTCCAAAGTTTACGTGTCGTGTGAAGATTATATAACTATCGCCCATGATTATGTCATCACACACGCTGTCAGACCGGTATTTTTTTTATCGTATCATACCTATTCTTCGCCGCCAATTTGACTTTTCAAACACATATTATTGCTCGCTTCGCACCATCGAAGCAACTTTGCTATCAATTAGTAAAGTAGCTAACTTAAAAACAAACCAGCAACTTGGCGGTTATTTCGATATCATACAATATCAATTGGTTCAAGCTGTCTCTCCATATGCCCTAGGGGCTCTAAAAATTAAACCATATACATTGTAATCATCGTAGTATGTCGTAGACGTAATTTTTTCGGAGTCAAAGATGGCGTTGCTGTCGTGGCTGTCGTCGATGGAGAACAATCATGCATAATGTACCGATAGATGTTGGAAATAATCAAAACGGCGGGAGAAATGCGAAATCTGGGCTTTTGATGGTATATGCACACTGGGGTTTACATACTTCTAACGGTTACTAAAAAAAGCTGTCTAAAAGAGCTTGGGGTACGGAAAAGATAAAAACGATAGTATGGTGCTGATAGGGATAACTAAACGTGGACCGGGGTTTATACCTGCCAAACCGTCACCTTTATCTAATCGGAATTATAAGATGAGCGAAGACTATGGTAAAGATGATGCAGGGAGGAAGCAGCCAACGGTTAATAGGCAACCAGGGATACGACATAAACAAGGAGAAAGGAGAGAAACAGGTAAAAATATAGGGGAATTTGAAGGCAAATGTAAAAACGACATTGATCACGGTAATGACTTTGATGGAGAGCAAGATAAAGGGCCAGGAGAGTTTTTAGATATACTCCAGACATTTCCGTTATTCAAGCAAGCACCGGAGTCATTTGTGATGAAAATAGTTTCGCAGCTCAGATTTAAGGTTTACAGGCCAAAGGAGTATGTTATTAGAAAGGGAGAACCGTCGGAGTCCATGTATTGGATTATGAGTGGGACAGTTGGCATCAGTGATGGCGAGTCGATACAAGCGGAGCTTGGACGGGGGAGCTTTTTTGGTGAAGTAGGTGTTATATTCAATAGACCGAGGACAGCTACGGTGGTGGCGAGAAGTAAAGTTGTGGTGGGAGTATTGGAAAGCGAGGCGCTCAATTTTGTATTACAATATTATCCTTCAATTGAGAGAAAGATCAGGGATGAGGCGCAGGGAAGATTAGCACTGCAAGATAAGAAATGTAAGTCTGGAACGTTAAGATGTAATCAGAATAATAGTTATGCCGGAGGGTATGGAGACGAGTTACAACCTGATTCCGTTTTGTCGCCTAGGTTTCTCAAGGATTTTTCGCTTTTTCAACAAATGCCTACTTATATTATTGAGGAATTACTATCGTATACCGAGCTTGTGAAGATCCCGCTGTTTGATTATGTTTTTAGCAAAGGTGACAAGGATCTCGATGTTTATTTCATCGTAAGCGGTAGGGTAGAAATAATTAATAAAGGCTTGGATTCTAAATCTGGCCGCAGATTGGCAGTGCTAGAATCAGGCCGTTCATTTGGCATTCTATCATTTTTATCACATTTGAAAGGAAATAACGACTGTAGGAGAACTGCGAGTGCCATATCAATATCGCCTGTAAGATTGCTTAAGATTCAAAGTTGCAAGTTAAAGGTATTGTGTAAGCAATTTTCATTTATTATAGATGAATTAGAGCATGAAAGCTTAGATAGAACATTTCTAGTTCCTGACAAGAGAGCTGACGCAACTCCTAATAGTCCACCGACCACCAGACTTTCTATTGACTTTCTCATGAACGGAAACGAAGATAATTTTTCAAAAGTTAGCAACCATTCTCAAAAAGACTTGAAAATAGAGCAGCTGCTATCATATCCAACATATAGTTCAAGATACCAAAATGTTTCTCCGATTTCACCGATTTCCCCCGTGGAAAATATTGATTCATCAACTACGCAATCGCCGAACATAAACACAACAGAACAAATTAATACGAAAAAGAGAAAATTGTCGATTGAAAAATATCCACTCGATTTCTTTAGCGGAAGAGCTTCGACAGAGCCGACAAAAAATGAATTTGTAGATCATGATGATGTGAAATTAAGTGAGATCCCCAATGATAAGAAACTGAAACTAAACAAAAACGAAGAGTCCTTACTAAATACTGATGAGACGGCGATAAAAATTTTTCTGAAGGTGTTCGAATATTTGACAATTCCGGAATTAATGAAATTAAGAAGAGTCTGCAAACAATGGAATGATATATTATCCACAGCGCCAGGATTATGCAACAAGTTAGACTTGACGCCTTGGAATACATCGATTGATGATAAATCGTTAATTTCAATAACAGACTTTGTTGGTGCAAGGCCACAGTATATAGATATATCTAATTGCTTTCATGTAACTGATGAGGGTTTTACTTATATGATTAATGAAATTGGAATTTCGGGAAAAATAAAAGATTTGAAAATGGAATCCAATTGGGAAATCAGTGGAATGGCTATAATGGATCTAAGTCTGTCGATTGTTGGTAGACATTTGGAAAGAATTGATTTGGCTAATTGTCGGAAGGTTCGTGATGATGTATTAGAAAGACTTACAGGTTGGAATCCAGGAGACATAAACCAAACAAACAATGAACTGAAAGAGGATGATAAAAGGTCAAATGTGGGGTGCAAAAACTTGAAGATAATTGACGTTGGATATTGTAAACATTTGACGGATAATATAATGTATCATATATCCCAAAATGCTAATACGAGATTAGAAAGCTTGAATTTAACAAGATGTACTACAATTACTGATCACGGATTTGAGCATTGGAATAAAAGAAGTTTTCCAAGTTTGAAGAAATTATCGTTGAAAGATTGTACATTTTTAACTGATAAATCGATAATCTCAATTGCAAATTCAGCAAGTAATTTAGAAATTTTAGATTTAAAATTTTGCTGTGCGTTATCAGATGTTTCAATTGATATGTTGTGCTTAGGTTGCCCGAAATTAAAGCATTTAGATCTATCATTCTGTGGAAGTGCCGTTAGTGATTTCTCACTCGTTGCTATTTCATTGCATTTACGGTTCTTAGAAAAATTAATTTTAAAAGGCTGTATTAGAGTTACTAGAGCTGGTATAGACTCATTATTAAGTGGTTGCTCTCCATTGAATTATCTCAACATTAGTCAATGTAAAAATGCTCATCTCTACCCAGGTGGAATAGCAGCCCAGAAGTTGAAGATTCATAGCCAAACAAAAACTGCTTTTGTCACTGCTGGATCTTATCGAAATATTATTGAAATTGCGGTTTAAACTACCTTTTTACATTGTTATTGGGTTAATTTACTGGTACTAGTTGCTGGTAACAGATAAACAGGTTGTTCATTATATTATTTATTCTTATTATAACAGGGTGTATTATTAAATAAATTGTAAATTATATTATTATTTAGCGCTTTTTCCTCTTTTTGACTTTATCTTCAAATTCAATAAAAGATATTGGAATTCCTTTGGAATTTAACAAATCTACAATCAATTTACCATGGGGTCCTTGAACGGTGACTTCAACTAGCTTTGGATTATGAGTACAAGGTCCGATAGTAGTAGAACCTGAACATTTTACTTTTAGTTCATCTGATAAAATATGTGGCTTAATGTAATATTTTTCAAAGTTCAGAACTCTCGTAATAACCTTTCTTCCTATTTTCATTTCGGTAACAACCTGAACTTTTGGCGGTTCACCCCTGTTTAATTCAATTTCATCATTATCAACACTTTCGCCAGGTTTTAAAATTTTATACATTGGCGAAAAATTAGTTAAAAATGCCTTAAAGACTTTATCTCTTGGATAAGAACCAAGACCTAAATTGGAAATGCTATTTAATGTATCATCAAGAACAATCTTCTTCGGATCTCTCTTATCCATCAATTGCTGAATTTTAATATATTTATCTAATAATGATCTTAATTCAGGCGAGGTGTACAAATTTGAAAATGGGATATCCACTTTGTTGAAAAACATTCTTGACTTATTAGTGGGCTTGTACAAGTAAACGATTGATAATTCATTTGCTTTATTCTTTTTATTTCCAACAGGTTTCTCGCTAGATTTATTAGAATTATTTGTTAAAGAACTCATAGGTTTGTGTGGTACAAAGTTTTGAATAATCGGGTTATCCTTTGAGGTTAAACCAACAATTGATAAATCATCTCCTTTCCCTTTAACTTGCACGTAATTCAACTTTTCCATAGCCTTTAAGAATTTTGCAGATTTTTTCCACGATGTCTTTTTAATGTTACAATACATGGGGTCAATAATTGGCAAGTTTTTATAAATGTAGTTGGACATGAAAGTGGATGATGTTATTGGTAGAGCGATAGGATTTTGTTGAATGGACTGCAAAAGAGATCTAGTAAAAAACTTATCAACATCCTCTACTGATAATTCTGATAACTGTTCAGCAACATCATCCATGTTAGTACCCATGGAATTTTCGTTAGTGGATTTATTGCTGACTTCATTTTCTATTTTAGATTCCACCTCAGACTTATTGTCGCCCTTATAAGCCTCCTGAGTAACAGATTCAGGCTCTTGAGTAACAGACTCAGACTCTTGAGTAACAGACTCTTTCTGTTGAACATTTACTGGTATATCCACGTTACATTCCGATGGTATAGGAATATCAACTAATTTATTCAAATTGTACAATTCATCGTGCAAGCAATGAATGACTTCCACGGCAGTACCAGTTCGACCAATAACCCTGTCGAATTCGGTCATATTCAATTTACAGCGACCTATAGCTTTTATAACCGTTGGATTCTGACTATCAACCACACCAACAACCGCACCCTTTACTGCTCTATCATCGAACGGAGGAATTGTACCTGGTAACATTAAATCAGCACCATTAGAAAGGATCTTGATAACATGAGGATGAGTTTTAATCATTGGGAGAATGAAAGGACATTTCCACGTAGTAAACAATGAAGGAAATATTTGAGAGTCTCTAGATTTAAACCAAATAGGCGTTTCATTCTCATCACAATAGATTGTTCCACTATACCCTTGGACACTTTTGAAGGAAGCTTGTTTCGTAGTTACAGGAAGAATATCATGTTCACATTCTTTGGTAATTTCTTGTTGAGGAATGTTGTATATATTGCAAATATTGGTCAATAATTTCCTCCTTTCAGAAGATTTGATATTTGCCGATGCTTTAGGTTGCGGGTCTTTCTTAAACATCTTCAAATATAAAGATTTATAACAAACCTTGGTTCATAGGTCTATCGTTCTATTTTATATGAATCCTTAAAAATTACACAAAGTACTTTTTTAGTGAGATCAGTAGTTGAATGTATGAAATAATGACTAGAGGTTCACTATAATAGATTCAGCATAAGAAGTCATAGATGACGGAGAAAAATACTGAGAGTAAGAACAGAGAGGAATTTTCCTCCATAACTGTTGTTAGACGCGTTATAGTATTTGTTACTTTGCTGTTTATTGTGTTTCTCGGTGTACCATTATGGAAATCTACAACAACAATTCACAGAGCTGAATTGCCAGCTGATCAAATAAAGGAATATTCAATGAACCTACAAGATCAGATTCATTACAATGTTCCGGTGTATCTAGATATACCGAACTCATTAGTCTGCTTCATACCACAAGCTCAAGAATTGCTTAATAAAACTATATATGATGTCTATCCGGAACTACAAAACTTTTGGGCAATTGAACTAAGAAAGATTGATGATAACATAGATGCTCAGCAGGATTATGTCGTCAAATTTGAATACTTGCCAAGTCCCGATAATGAAGAAGAACAAGATCCCACTGAATCATTCTTCATATCTCCGTTCAGTAAAGAAACAAGGATCACAATTACTGATAATGTGGTTAGACCTAAGAAAGTTGACGAATTTTTAAGCATAATTTTAACCCAATACGTTTTTAAAGGTGAAATTGAAGAAATGAATAGTATAGTAAAAGGAGAAAGCCATGATTCTAGAAATTTAGTCATGCCGTATTCGTCTAAATATAATATTGTTATTTCGTTATTAAATGAGAATGGAAAACCAATAAATTGGGAAATTGAGAGGTCATTAGAATTATTTGAATCGATCTTTGTAAAGTTGAACCATTTTGCTAACTTTACAGTAACTTCTCAAATCCAATATTATTCTACATTGACCTATCCTCCAAACTTTGATAAAAACAAGAAAGCATTTATAATTCCTGAGTCTGGCTTATCAACGTTTGTGAATTTTGGTGACTGGAATTTAATTACTCATGATATCAATCCGAGTATTAACTTTATATTATACTTCCCTGAAGCTAATTATGACTCCAAGCCTACGTTGATTGAAAATTCCAAGACCAATTCATTTTTAATTCCACAATGGGGTGGTGTTACTATATTCAATAAAGATATGAAGAATCAAGGGTCCAATATCGATGAAAATGAATTATTACCTGTAATGGAAACGTTTGCTTCGCAACTATTTCAATTATTAGGTATGCCATCTCTGCCTAAATCACCAAATATCAAAATTGATTCATTATCCAGGACTATGACGTATAAAAATTTGAAGCAGTCGTTGGAAAATTTAGAAGCATTATTGACTTTAACTAATTCATTGAATGAAATTTCAATACCTGAATTGACAAAATTATACGTACAAAAATCCATACAATACTTAGAAGAGTCGATACAAGAATTAAATAATGGCAACTTCTACTTATCGATGAAGCTTAGTTCACAGAGTTTAGAGAATTCTGATAGAGCATTCTTTGAAAAAGAAATGGTACAACAAGCATATTTTCCAAGTGAACATAAATTAGCAGTTTTCTTACCATTATTGGGACCGCTTTGCTCAATTGTTTCAATAGGAACCTTAAAGGCAATAAAAGATATTAAAGGTAACAGAAACAGTAAGGTTAAGAAAGAGTAGTATTTCAACTATAGAATAGAAAAATAATATATATATATATAACGTTCTAGAAGTATGCGTCGAGCCATTGACGGTTTGCAAACTTAATCTATTAAATAAGTATATATCAGCTTTGTTGGACATTTGTGATGGTAATCATAGTCAAACGCACAACCTTGAAAAAATTAATGAGATGCGATCAATTTTATTTAATACGCGGAATTTTTCAGAACCATATACTATGTTTTGGAACCAAAAATGAGTAAATTACTAGTTAACGGTTTAGGCTTAGGGTCTGTTGGTATAGCGTCATATTTCTGGGGAAAGTCGTCAGCACCAACCCCTAGTCCAACAACAGTGGGACCACCTACCTCGGTCGTTCCAGGCAAGAGTAATAGCAGTGTCGGATCATTTGATGCGTCCAGTATAAGACCAGAAGAGTTTTACAAATACGGCTTCCCGGGGCCAATTCATGATTTAGAGAAGAGAAAAGAATTTATTAGTTGCTACGATAGGAAAACTAGGAACCCTTACTGGATTATTGAACATATCACAAAAGATTCGATAAGATCTGCACAAGGGGTTGATAGGAAGAAGTCAGTGTTCAAGGAAGATGAAAGCATTCCTTTGAAGTTCAGAAATAGGTTGAGGGACTATTTCCGTAGTGGTTATGACAGAGGTCACCAAGCTCCTGCGGCCGATGCCAAATACCATCAAGATGCCATGGACGAAACATTTTATTTGACAAATATTTCACCTCAAGTTGGAGATGGGTTCAATCGTGACTATTGGGCACACTTTGAAGACTTTGCACGTAGATTGACCAAAGAATACGATGGGGTTAGAATAATGACAGGCCCGTTATTCTTGCCAAAGAAATGTCCAGAGAATCCGAACAAATACAAAGTTGAGTACGAGGTTATTGGGTCACCACCAAATATCGCAGTGCCAACACACTTTTTCAAGTTAATTGTTGGAGAAACCAATAACTCAAAAGACATTGCGGTTGGAGCATTCGTATTACCAAACGAGGCGATCGACAATGTCACACCGCTTACCACCTTTCAAGTTCCCGTCGATGCATTGGAAAGATCGAGCGGATTGGAATTGTTACACAAGGTACCATATACTAATAAAAAAGATTTATGTAGAGAGGTTAAATGTGAGATAATTGTCAGGGAATTTCCTAAGAACGTTAACAAGTTATTGCCACCAGTGCCGCCTCAAGGATTATTACCACCACTTAAATAGGTTTATATATAAAGAACGACCAACCAGTGACTATGTATATAAATGGACGTTATTTGTGAAGACAATCTGTCATAAGTAAATTGTTGTGTAGAGAAAGTCGGCGTAAAATCATCATCAATGTATACAGTTATAGGATATTTGAACTATCACAAGTCTGAAGCACCTAAAATAAGGGCAGAAGTCGAAATGCATTGCTACAAAAACATTGAATTTCCCAACGTTCTACAATAAATGTTGATACCGCGGAGTTCTAAACAAACAACAAACAAATCGTAGCACACCAATCTAACAAATCTTAGCACATCAGTCCAACAACTCAGCAAAGAGATTCAGTACAGAACGACAGACTAGAATACACAAGAAGAAAACAACAAATACACATACACAATGCCGACCGAGCACTTGTACGCGGAGTGGCTGCGAAAAGTGACTTCAAATGCAAAAGATATTCCACTTTTATTTGTATAATCGATTGAAAACCACTATACCAGATGTTTCTCCGGCTTGCGATAATTGCAATACTTATCTTCTTCTTGCTCTGATGGACTGGGTTGTCAACAAAAATTACGATTGGCGAATAAACGGTAATTACACCAATGCGTTGAGAAATGATAGTGAATAGAATATTATACAGTGTAATACAGTGATTATAGTTGAATATAGTAATTATACAGCGGATGTTGTAACTACAGCGAGTGCATATCTCTAAGTTCTATCTTATTTATCATAGTGTATCACCCACCACCCGATTCCCAATATACACAGATAACCAATCGACACAAATACAAATATGGTTTGTGTTGTGCCCGTTGCATAAACCCGAACTTTTGTTGGTAGGAGTGCACACTGAGCTCAGTTCGATGGGTCTGAGTCGATGGGTCAACCTTTGCACGTCCTCATCGCAAAACCCGCGACTAGCCTAGTAGCTCCGGCCGAATTTCTCTTTAAAGTCCCTTTCGCTGCGAAATACTCTCAACAGTATACTTGTTTCAAGTTACAAACACTATGCTATTCACATCCCGAACATTACTTCAAATGTTCCATAGGTCTATATACTGTCTACACTGCTGACTGTCTATTTACTTAACCATATTCTGTTCATACTGTATACACCGGAATACTAATACTACCTCTAACCATCACTATCACTGCCACTCCTATTCCCATTGCCACTGCAATTCCCACATATCCATCTATACGTGTACATAGTATATGCACACATCGTAAACCCTCAACCTCGTGCTACACCTCTACACCTTCCTTACTATTGCCAACATCGAACCCACCGAGGTCCCAACATTTTACGGCATTTGGAATACACACTACTTAGCGTCCATTTCATAATTTGTAGGCGAACGTTCCAGCACAAAATTACACAAAATCGAAGGAGTTGCAAATACCCAAAATCCAAAACCGCCCATCAATAAAAATTTTGGTGTTATATAGCGTATCAGCGCTAATTTATATATCACAGTATATCTTTCTTTAGGAGTTTTTTCAAGGACATATCTTTATTTAAGTTCGATTATAAGATAATTGGACATATTAATACATTATATTGAAAAGTAACAATTAGTTTTTAAAAGTACCACCGTTTATATTTATTATATTCATTTAGAACTAATTTTAGCCCTATTCCCGCCAGATCGCTATATCGAAAATACAAAAATATCGATTTGCTAAAGAAAAGACACATTAGCAGTTATACTAAGTTAATTTACTCCCATTAGACTACCGCTACATTTTACCCACCACATTAAGGTTTAAACAAATATTATAGACTATTTACAGAAACATAATGAGTACCACACATCGTCCATTTTCGCTAAATCATGGAACAATTGAATACACAATGTTGGTTCCAACCAATTTGTTGTTTGGATTCTCCCAATTGAAGGATCAGTTCAACAAGACGTTGCCCGAGCCCACCGAAGGATTTGCGGGAGACAACGAACCCTCGTCGCCAGCTGAATTATTTTCCCAGTTTTTAGGCTACACCGCTTCGTTGGTGGAACCTAAGGCCGCCGGTCAGTTCGACGAAGTGTTGAAGTTCAGTTTGCATGAATTTGAGGTGAGATTCTTATCCACCACCGATGTGCATTCGTTCGCAGGGCGTTTGGTCAACGACGAGGCGTACCCTACCACCTTATCGAAAGTTAAAGGAATTATCAAGAATTATTATAACGCGGTGATCAACTCTAATGCCACCACCACGAAGACAGAATCAAACTTGTTGAAGAATGCAATGAGCCTCAATTCGGACGGTAAGGCCAAGATCTACGCCATTTTTGGTGGTCAAGGTAACACCGACGACTTCTTCGAAGAATTGAGAGAAATCAACGATATGTACAGTGGACTCGTGTCCGATTTGATTGGCAAGATTGCCACTCAATTGAACTATCTTGTTAGAACCACCGAAAATGTCGATAAGATTTATACCCAAGGATTTGACATCTTGACGTGGTTAGCCAACCCGGAAAAGACCCCAGACCAAGATTATTTATTATCAGTGCCAGTTTCATGTCCATTGATCTGTGTCTTACAATTATGTCACTATACGGTGACATGTAAGGCCTTAGGGTTGACTCCAGGTGAATTTAGAAGCTACTTGAGCGGTACTACCGGTCACTCGCAGGGTTTAGTTACTGCCATGGCAGTTGCCTCGTCTTCTAGCTGGGATAACTTTATCGAGAATTCTTTGAAGGCTATTTCGTTATTATTCTATGTTGGTGCTAGAAGTCTTATAACTTTCCCAAGAACCACCTTACCACCAAGTATGTTACAAGATTCACTCGATAATAATGAAGGTAGACCTTCTCCAATGTTGTCTATTAGAGATTTATCTATAGAACAAGTCGAAGCCTTTATCAAGCAAACTAATAATCATTTACCAAGTGAAAAACACATTGCTATTTCCTTGGTAAACGGTGCGAGAAATGTCGTTGTTTCTGGTCCACCAGAGTCATTATACGGGTTGAACTTGACTTTGAGAAACAACAAAGCTCCATCTGGTTTAGATCAGGCTAGAATTCCATTCAGTGAAAGAAAATTAAAGTTCTCTAACAGATTCTTGCCAATCTTTAGTCCATTCCATTCTCATTTATTAGAGCCGGCTACTGACCTTATCCATAACGACTTGACTAATGAAGAAATTGACTTTTCACCAGCGGATGTTAAGATTCCTGTTTTCGACACTTTTAACGGTGATAACTTTCAAACTTACACATCTAAATCGGAAGAGTCCGTTATTTTGAGATTAACTAGATGTATCACCGAATTAGCCGTTAACTGGGAAAAGGCCACCAACTTTGCTTCGACTCATATCTTAGATTTTGGTCCGGGTGGAGTCTCTGGTTTAGGTGTTTTAACACACAGAAACAAGGAAGGTACTGGGTCCAGAATTATTATTGCTGGTACTTTAGATACCGTTTCTCCAGATGATGAATATGGTTTCAAACAAGAAATATTCAACAAAGCACCTAACTCTACCAAATGGGCTTCAAACTGGTTGGAAGAATTCAAGCCGAAATTGGTCAAGAACAGCGCTGGTAAAGTCTACGTCGATACTAAATTCTCGAAATTATTAGGTAGGGCCCCATTAATGGTTCCTGGTATGACCCCAACTACCGTTAACCCAGAAATAGTCGCAGCTACTATTAATGCTGGTTACCACGTCGAATTAGCCGGTGGTGGTTACTTCAATGCTTCATCTATGCAAAAGGCGTTAGAAGACGTTAGAGACCATATTGTTCCTGGTTCTGGTATTGGTCTTAACTTGATTTATGTTAACCCAAGAATGTTACAATGGGGTATTCCATTGATCAAGGAATTGAGAGAAAAGGGATTCCCAATTCAATCGATGTCTATTGGTGCTGGTGTACCATCTTTAGAGGTTGCAACCGAATATATTGAAACATTAGGCTTAACCCATTTAGGTTTAAAACCTGGTTCGATTGATGCCATCTCTCAATGTATTACCATCGCTAAAGCACACCCAACTTACCCAATTGTATTACAATGGACTGGTGGTAGAGGTGGTGGCCATCATTCTTTTGAAGATTTCCATCAACCTATTTTACAGATGTACTCTAAGATTAGAAGATGTTCCAACATTGTTTTGATTGCTGGTTCCGGTTTTGGTTCTGATGAAGATACTTACCCATACTTAACTGGTACATGGTCGCAAAATTACAAGCATCCACCAATGCCTTTTGATGGTGTTTTATTTGGTTCGCGTGTTATGACTGCCAAAGAAGCACATACTTCATTGGATGCTAAGAAGGCTATTGCGTCGTGCACTGGTGTCAAGGATGGTCAATGGGAAAGTACTTATAAGAAGCCAACTGGTGGTGTCATTACTGTCAGATCAGAAATGGGTGAACCAATCCATAAGATTGCCACCAGAGGTGTTATGTTATGGAAAGAATTGGATGATACCATTTTCAACTTACCTAAGAACAAATTAACGGAAGCCTTGAAGAAGAAGAAGGATTATATTATCAACAAGTTGAACAAGGATTTCCAAAAACCATGGTTCGGTAAGAACGATTCTGGTGTTTGTGATTTGCAAGATATGACTTATCAACAAGTTGCCAACAGATTGATTGAATTAATGTATGTCCAGAAGTCTTCCAGATGGATTGATCTTTCATTAAGAAACTTTGTCGGTGATTTCTTGAGAAGGGTTGAAGAAAGATTCACTACCCAAGCTGATTCTGTTTCCTTATTGCAAAATTTTGCTCAATTACAAAATGAGCCACAAGTTTTCGCAGACAAATTCTTCGACCACTTTGTGTTGGCTCAAACTCAATTGATCAATGAAGAAGATTGCGATTTCTTCTTGATGTGCTGTCAGAGACCACAACAGAAACCAGTTCCGTTTGTTCCTGTTATTGATGAAAGATTGGAATATTTCTTTAAGAAGGATTCGTTATGGCAATCAGAAGATTTAGAAGCAGTTGTCGGTGAAGATGTCCAAAAGACTTGTATCTTGCACGGCCCAGTTGCAGCTCAATTTACTACAAAGGTGAACGAGCCAATCAAGGATATCTTGGACTCTATTCACGATGGTCACATTGCTAAATTACTCCAAGATGAATATGATGGCGATAAATCAAAGATCCCAGCTGTTGAGTATTTCGGAGGCCAACTCCCAAGTTCTCTGACTTCGGTCCCAAGTGGAGTTTCCATTGAATCGTCGGATGATAAGGTAATTTACAGACTTAGCTCTCAAAAATCCTTACCAACGAAGACGCAATGGTTAGAATTGTTAGCCGGTAATACCTTGAGCTGGTTACATGCTTTTATTACCACTGATAGGGTCGTTCAAGGATACAACCACGTTTCAAACCCTCTTCACGATGTTTTAATTCCAAGTGGTGAAGTTGTCGTTGAAATTTCTCATCCAAGTAACTCCTCCAAGACTTCATTAGTTGTTTTAGAACCATTGAATGGGGAATTACAACCGGTAGTTAACATTAAATTGGTAAAGGAATCGGTTATTCAATTTGAATTGGTTGAACATAGAACTGCCGATTCCAAGCCAGTCGCCTTACCTTTCTTATACACCTATGCACCTAGTGATGGATTTGCACCAATCTTAGAGGTTATGGAAGGCAGAAATGATAGAATAAAAGAATTCTACTGGAAGTTATGGTTCGGTTCCAATGTTCCAGTTGATTTTGATATTGATGTCAAGAAGGCTATTGTCGGAGATGAGCTTACTATTACTGGTCAAGATATCTCTGAATTCACTCATGCGATCGGTAACAAGTGTGAGGCATTCGTTTCAAGACCGGGTAAAGTTAGCTTAGCTCCAATGGATTTTGCAATTGTTATTGGTTGGAAGGCTATTATGAAAGCCATTTTCCCTAAAACAATTGATGGTGACTTGTTGAGATTAGTCCATATGTTTAATGGCTACAGAATGATTCCTGGTGCTGAACCATTGAAGAAAGATGATGTTGTTTCATCAAGTGCTGAAATCAAAGCTGTTTTGAATCAACCATCTGGTAAGTTAGTTGAAGTTATTGGAACTATATACAGAGAAAACAAGCCAGTTATGGAAGTCACCTCTCAATTTTTGTACCGTGGTGAATACGTCGATTATGAGAACACGTTCCAAAAGGTTACTGAGACACCCGTTCAAATTCATTTCAATTCTGCCAAGGACTTGGCTATTTTGAAGTCTAAGGAATGGTTCCACTTAGAAAAAGATATTGAGTTATTAAATCAAGTCTTAACTTTCCGTTGTGAATCCACTTATAAATTTAAGAGTGCTGAAGTTTACTCGTCGATCACTACTGTTGGTCAAATCTACTTAGAATTACCAACCAAGGAAGTCATTCAAATTGGTTCGGTTGATTACGAAGCAGGTAAGTCATACGGCAACCCAGTCACAGATTATTTATCTAGAAACGGTACTACCATCGAACAAGCCATTAAATTTGAAAACTCCATTCCAATTTCAAGTGGTGAAGAATTGACTTCAAAAGCTCCAAACACTAATGAACCATATGCCAAGGTTTCTGGTGATTACAACCCAATTCACGTTTCCAGAGTTTTTGCTTCTTATGCTAAGTTACCTGGCACTATCACTCATGGTATGTTCTCATCTGCTTCCATTAGAGGCTTAGTTGAAGAATGGGCTGCCAACAATGTTGCTTCGAGAGTCAGAGCTTTCAAGAGTACATTCGTCGGTATGGTTTTACCAAACGATATCTTGCAAACTACTTTGGAACACATTGGTATGATCAACGGTCGTAAGATTATTAAGGTTGAGACTAGAAATGTCGAAACTGACACCTTGGTATTATCTGGTGAAGCTGAAATTGAACAACCAATCACTACTTATGTCTTTACTGGTCAGGGTTCTCAAGAACAAGGTATGGGTATGGACTTATATGATAGCTCTGATGTTGCTAAAGATGTTTGGGACAGAGCTGATCGTCATTTCCTTGATAACTATGGTTTCTCGATTCTTAACATTGTCAAGAACAATCCAAATGAATTGACTATTCACTTTGGCGGTGCTAAAGGTAGGAAGATTAGGGACAACTATATTGGAATGATGTTCGAAACTATTGGTGAAGACGGTGAAATTAAATCTGAAAAGATCTTCAAGGAGATTGATTATACGACAACATCTTTTACTTTCGTTTCTCCAACTGGTTTATTATCAGCTACCCAATTTACCCAACCAGCTTTAACATTAATGGAAAAGGCATCTTATGAAGATATTAAATCTAAGGGATTAGTTCCAGAAAACATTATGTTTGCTGGTCATTCATTAGGTGAATATTCGGCATTATCTTCTTTGGCGAATGTCATGCCAATTGAATCGTTAGTTGATGTCGTTTTCTATCGTGGTATGACCATGCAAGTTGCTGTTCCAAGAGATGAATTAGGTAGATCTAATTACGGTATGTGCGCTGTCAATCCAACCAGGGTTAGTCCTACTTTCAATGACGCTGCTTTGAGATTTGTTATCGATGAAGTTGCAAAGAAGACCGGTTGGTTATTGGAAATTGTTAACTATAACGTTGAAAACACTCAATATGTTACTGCTGGTGATTTGAGAGGGTTAGATACCTTAACTAATGTTTTGAATGTCATTAAGTTGAACAAAATTGATATCGTTAAGTTACAGGAAACTATGTCTTTAGAAGAGGTCGCTGCTCATCTACAAGAAATTATTAGCGAAGTTTCGTCACAATCATTAGCCAAACCACAACCAATTGACTTACAAAGAGGTTTTGCCGTTATCCCATTGAAGGGTATTTCGGTTCCATTCCATTCTTCATACTTGATGTCCGGTGTTAAGCCTTTCCAAAGATTCTTATGTAAGAAGATTCCAAAGTCATCAGTCAAGCCAAATGATTTGATTAACAAATATATTCCAAATTTGACTGCCAAACCATTCGAAATTACCAAGGCTTATTTCGAAGAAGTTTATGAATTAACCAAATCTGATAAGATCAAGAGCATAATTGATAATTGGGAATCTTATGAGTCTGCTTAATTTAATTTATGTCAGTTTGTTTCTTTTTTATGAAATTTCATTAATTTAGAATTGGGATTGCTTATCTAATTATTCTTACTATATAATACGTGGTACTATTATAAAGTAATGAACAAATTGGTAACTTTTATATATATAGGTTATAATAATAATAGTAATAATAATGTATTTATTTATTTATTTAAGAAAGTGTAAACAAACATTTATAGGGGGTGGTGGGGGTTAAATAGTTCTATAAGCCTGTTGCTAAAGGACTCGAAATATTAACTGGAGTAAACTTCTTTGGCAATGAAACTCTAGAGAATCTTGACTTTAATCTTTGGGTTACTAAATCCATATCTAAATGCCTAGTTAAACCAATACGTGGAATACATCCAATGTAATGATCATTATCTAATTGAACATCTAAGGGATCTTGTGTATGGCAACCTGGAGATAAAGATAACCTAATAGAATGCTTTTTACCGGATGGGTCGTTTGAATCGTCTGCTTCATATAATTCAAAAACGATTTGGGACATATAATCCAATTCTGGTAAAGCATTTCTAGCAATCTTCATTGGAATTTGAGAACCATAAATAACATTCAATAATGTATAAATATGAGATTCCTTTGTAAAGTAATTTACTACTGCCGCTGCATCATTATCCCTCATACCTTGGATATCTGATAATATTTGCTTTGCTAATGGCAATGAAGTAAGTAATCCAATATCTAATTTCTCTTCATCCTTAATACCATATTCTTGAGGACAAATAAAATCAAATAATACCTTTGATAATCTGTACAATTCTCTAAGTCTTGTAAACGTTGGACGATCGAATAAATTATCATGAGTATCTTGTTTCTTCTTAGTATTCGACTCGTTGTTTGACGATGAATCGTCAACTGTTGAAGTGGCTCCCTTTAATACCCATCCTAAGGATCCAGCTGATGCGGGAGTAGTAGAGGATGTAATATTAGCAAGATTGCTGCTTGAATTGGAGCTTGAATTTGGTCCTGATGTATTATTACTGTTCGAAGCAGTCTGGTTATCGTTTGGAATTTTGAAATTATTCATCGCCAAAATGTTAATTGGATATTCACTGACTAATCCTGAAGAATTTATTGTATCGCCACATACTTTATTCAATCTTGCGAGCAACTCTTCGTCATTTGGATCGAAGGAAAAGATATTTTGTAAAAATTGTCTGTTGTGCAAAGCGTCGTACTTCATGGTGTCATACAATTCAGAAATCTTTGATGGATGAGTTTTTTCCACAGTCGTGAACTCTTGAAATAACTTATCCCATCTTTCTTTAAACAAAACAGGATCTTCGCCACAACACCAGTTTTTTTGGAATTCCTCCACATCATTCTTTTCGAAATTATAATCCATGATTTGTTGATGGTAATTCATCAATTGACAGACACGTTTTATCACAACAAACGGTTGGGGCATCTTAGGTGGCCAAGTAAACTGAGGAGGAGCTTCAGCGCCTTGTCTTATTAATGGTTTCAACTTCTTTTTAACCTTATCCATTAAATCCTTAGCTGCATTTGAATCGTCCAATAAATCTTTCCGAATAATCAAAAAGTCGTCTGGTAATTCTTCATGTTCCTTATCTAAACCTAACAACGCTAATGTAGATAAGTGTGCACTTGCAATAACCCTTCTTTCTGACGATGTAAACACTTTTACATCCTTTAGAGCATCACGATTTAAAAGCTTAATGTTTTGTCTAAGTTGCTCGCCGACATCGTTAGCCTGAAATTGTGCTGAATGAGTTGGTTCGCCACCCCATTTTAAGATTAATTGCACCTTCTCAACAGTTTCTGGATTTTCTGAATTTAAAGAAGGCTTCAATTGAATTTTGGTGCCCGGAAAATTCATCTTCTTTTCTAAAGCCCCTCTTAATTGTTGAAGTTTCTTTGGGTCTTCCAACTTCTTTTCCTCTGCAATTTTCACAGTTTCCAAAACAACTTGAAGATCTGGAACATCTCTTATGATAACTTCTTCCAAATGACCCTTTAACAATGAAATAAATAAAGGTGATCTAAACGAGTACTTGAATTTTTGTTTAGGAGTACGATCTGCATGTCTAATAACAGATACCATACCTTTGAACACCCATTTTTGTTCTTTTTCTTCAAATTGACTCTTGTGAAGTAATTTAGACAGACGGGGTATCTTTGTCTTCAATAAATCACGGGATTTTTTGGCTTCAATAAATAAACCTCTTAATATTGATGCACACGAGTCATAATACTCATTATTATCTTTGACGAATGAGAAACCATTGACATCAATTACATATGATTCCCCATTCACTCTCAATAAATCAAATCCACAAATAGTCTGTTGGAATATAGAGCTTACATTTTTAGCCATAATTGTTTCCCTTTCAGTCAATTCAGTTACAAACCTAATTTCCTTTCCGTGAGTATTACGTCTAACAATCCCATCAACCACTGGCGATTTACGAGTCTCTGCATGGCAAAATTTAGGCCCCACGGTATATGCTTTTACATCTTCAAAGTTATCCGTATCCATAAACTTTTCGTAGATGTACGATCCCTCAGTTCTAGGTGTTGATAATTCAGGATCAAATTCAGAAGACTTGTTACCAATCTTTCTAAACAAACGTCGACCACCACCGCCTGTAGACTTGGGATAGTAAATATACACGTTATGATCTTCGCCATCTACTGGCTTTTCTACAAATGGTTTCTTCATTATCTTACCTTCGACCTGCAAAGTATCATCATCGATCATTTCCCATTCAGGTTCTTTTTGGTTAGTTAGTTTGCTCAATTGTTCATCTGACAAGCCAGTTTCTTTTAGTTTGTTCATCAACGAGTCATCAATATGAGGACCACCGTCACGACTAATTTCCAATCTTTCTGGGGTTGAGACATTGGCATGATTTAAAATATTTAAGACTAATCTTCTATCCCAAAGTGTTTTTTGCAAAATTAAATCATTCAATATATATGGCTTACGGTAATTAGCATAAGCAATAGCTTTTTCTAAAGGGAATCCGGATGAAAAAAAACTAATCAAGAAATCACACGTTGGCCAATTTTCAATAGCTTCATCAAGAATTACCTTATCCCCAAAAATAATAGTTTCAAACTCTCCGTTTTCAATTAATCTGTTCAATATACGACGACATGGTTTAGACATGACTTTTGAATCCATTGCACATACACCGATCTTACCTATCTTAGGCAATTTAGGTCCTTCTGGTTCCTTGTGAATGGATAGAGACATTCTTGAAGCAGAAGATGAATTCGACGTAGTTTTATTCAATTTACTCATCCCTGGATCCAAAGCACTTCCAGAAGATGTAGAGCCGGCCCTTGAATTCCTTTTCGACTTAGCCGTATCGTTCGCATTCAAATTATCAGTTGACAAACTATCCGATCCATGCGGCGAAGTGGTTAACTTCGAAGAAACACCATCCTTAGACTCCTCGGCACTAGTTTTGGGCGCAAATCCTTCCAACATTGGCGCTATAGAGGCTATTGCCAGTTGTGTGGACGCCTGGTTAGCTGGACCTGATAATGATAATGGAGACATAGGTTGACTCATTTTAGATAACACTGATTGAGACAAATTTGACTTATTGTTTCCATTCTCTTCATTTCCAGGTACTGGAATAGGTAACGAATGATCTTTATCTGACATGGTTAACTACAATCCTAGAATTCAGTATTATTAAATCAATTAATCGCTAAAGAATTAATTTTGACTCCTACGTTTGTTTGGTGGTTTTGTGTAATTTATATTTTCATTAGATTAGTCTGTTTCTTCACTACTCTAAAGACGAATAGTTCAATTGATGTGAACAATTCTAGTAATATAGAGCATCTTGAAGAATTCTACGATTAATATACCAACGCTCCGTTAGTCCAGCACCTCTGACATTAATTATGTTAAAAATTAATTGAGATGTGGCCTGCAATCCGATTGATCGCATCATTGGTTGTTGCTTACAACATAGAGACAACAGACACAAGGGTAAACCTTTATAAATTATATAGAAAACCAAAAATAAACGTTAGTAAATAAAAGGTAAGTATGAAGAAGTTTTCATATTTTATTTGTGACGAGTGAATCATTCAATGGCAGCTAATGAGTCAAACAAAACTGAAATTGATTCACCGAAATGGTCTCTTCTGATACATTCAGCGAAAATAGGAGATACATCAATGACAGATAACTTTTCGTTTTTCTGGATTCTTTCATTTCCAATTGGATAAGTATTGGTGACCACTATTCTGTCAATACAATCTGAATCATTTAATGTTTCTAAGCATTTATCGCTGAAAACACCGTGGGTACCAAGAACGTAAACAGCCTTGGCTCCGCAATTCAATCTCAAGTGTTCAGCAGCTGCAATAAACGAATTTGGCTTATCAATCATGTCGTCTAGTATAATTGCCACTTTATTATTAACATCACCAACTAAGGTGATTAATTTTTCTAGGTTCATAGATGTAGGTTCATCATCGTCGTCACTGTTGGTAGCATCGTAGGAGCCTCCCAAAGCATCGCTGTCGATAATGGAAGCTGTTTCAAGGCTATCATGCGCAATACCGTTGGTAATTGGGGTTTGTGGAACTGGATAGTCGTCATCAACAACATGGCCTTGAACTATCCTAGCGGTTTGCATTTCCGACACTATGTTATCTTCTTCATCATCCTCGTCGATGCCTTGGACACGAATTGGTTTCGAGGTCTTTAATGCCTTTTTATTTTTTGAAACATATCCATCCTTGGTACGACGACGATCTGTGTGAATCATAGCAAAATTGATTTTTAACGAATCTGCCAAAGCAGTAACTCTTTTGGTACCACCCGGGTTCTTGGAAACGACAACAGCATTTGCCCAGTCAGAAATATTATGACGAATCCATCTGGCTAAAGTTGGAGCACCAAACAAATTATCAACGGGTTTAGTAAAAAAACCTTGCATTTGCGAAGCGTGTAAGTCCATCGACACAACATGATCGGC